CTGTAAAGTTTCAGCTTAAAATACTCATCAGATTATTTATTGTAGTCTCCAGAATTTACCCATTTTGATGTAACTGTTTTTGTAGCCTGTGACTTTAAATAAAAATGAGCTGCTTCTCCCTGCCCACCGTTCCCACGTGCATGTCTGCTTCTCATCATTCATTACGTCAGATAAACAGCGGTCAGTGATAGAGACAGACACGGACAAAGCTGAAATAGCTCACTAGTTAAAAAGTAAGTTTATTTCACGTATTTGTGATGGAGTTTATTTAAGATTTTCTAAAAACAATGAGTACTGCCGTTTGCAGTACCATATAACATGATTGCAGTACAATATATATATAGGGTAGTGTTTCTACTGTTACTAACAAAAGAAGATATTCTGAAGAATGTTGATTATCAAACAGATGACAATACGAATGACTTCCACAGTGGGAAAGAATATCATAGATATCTTCCCAAAATTCTTAAAGGGTTTTTGTTGTATATTGTTCTAAACAAAAGAAAGAAACTAATATAGCCTAGTTTTGAGCAAGGATAGGGTGAATAAAAAAAGTGACAACATTGTCATTGTAAGTTAAACCCTTACTTTTTATCAGAAAACTAATTTACTTACAGTTATTAGTAACTTTGTAGCTAATTACACCCAACACTGCTTGTATCATGGGGTATCTACAGGATGAAATAATGTCAACTCTAATCGGTACTGGATTTCGTTATTTATTTATTTGATAAGTAGCTGTGTAATAAGGCGGATTATGCACAGTCAGATTGTTATTATCGTAAAACAAACACATTCAGGGTGATACGAGGGTCCGGATTCCCCCTGTCTGGGTTTATATTACGATAATGGCTAGCTAGCTGTATATTATCTTTTACTCAAGGATTACATATGAACTGTTGGAGTAGGTTTTAGGAAGACAATGTGCATCGAGATAAAATTGTTATGACGTGTTCTGTTCATTATAGATGGTATAAAATTGACCAGCTTGTTCCAAAATTAATCAGGCTTTGTCAAGTTTGTCTTATTAGTGGACAAACTTGGGTTATGCTGTGTGTAGCTCCTTGTTTTAAAGCATGATCTAAAAAATCTAAATGTTTTAAATAATAATAAAAAAAATTATAATAGTAATTTTGCATTGTTGACCATTAAAGTCCACATTAACCAGTAAATAAATGGTTGGAGGGGAGTGACTACGCATATTTTGCCCATTCTGTCAAGCCGACATTATTAGAGAAGGTCTGCCAATCCAGAGTGGAAGCAGATAGTTAGATTTTGATTAAAGATTACCCAAACTAACTTTTCAGTGGATTAAGTTGGGCAGAACAATTGTTCACCTTAAGCTATATAAACGCTAACAAAATATTCATTTTCCACTTAGTCCTTTTATTAATCTGGGGTCGCCACAGTGAAATGAACCACCAACTTATCCAGGTTTTACACAGTGGATACACTTCCAGCTGCAAACCATCACTGGGAAACATCCACACACACTCATTCACACACATACACTATGGACAATTTTAACCCACCCAATTCACCTACCTCATGTTTTTGGACTTCTGAGGGAAACCGGAGCACCCAGAGGAAACCCACACAGGGAGAATTTGCACACCAAAAACGCCAACTGACCCAGCCGAGGCTCGAACCAGCAACCTTCTTGCTGTGAAGTGAACGTGATACCTACCACACAGCCCCGCTAACAAAATAAAATATATTTTGGTTTCATGCAGTATTTGGGAAGTTCAAATCACTGAATAGTCTTTTTACAAGTCTGAGGCAGGCAAATAAAGCTAAATGGCTATCCTTTAGATTGCTTATAAATGTGTTGCTCAAACAAAAATGTGGTTTCAAATATTTCCCTTTGGAGTGTGTTTTCTGTGTGTCAAGACTGTGGGTAGTCAGTTTGTGTGTTGGGAAGGTTTACAACATCGCTGTACGTGCAAATGGCTTGTTAAATAAAAAGCTATACGTGCAAGCTCCACATTACAGTGCTGTTACAGTGCGGTGATATGTAAACCAACAAAAACAGTAAAAGCTCAATTTTGGCAGCTGAGGGAAACTTCTGAAACACCTTTAAAGAATGGCAGCTCATTCTGTTAACAGCCTTCACCTGCCAAATTAAGGTAGCTGCATGTGAAACTACATTAGGAAATGCATTTACGGTACATGTCGACGAGAAGGCCAATAACTGCATATTGTATTAATAACCATAAGATATTCTTTTATGTTTTGGATGGTTGTATGTTTGATTCCATCATAGATGTTAATCTGAAATGCAGAGCACCCCTGCTGAGAAACTGAACAAGAAGACCCACCACGACGCTGCTAACCTCAGGTTTGGATATGGGTCTGTTTTACAGACATTCTCATGGTGCTTTAACAGTGAGAAGTTGTGGAAACAAGTGTGTGTGAAAGAGAGAGCTTGTGGTTGAATTAAAAGAGAATAAGATGGAATAGTTTTGCACAATATAATTAAGAAGGCTGTTTAAACCTTTAATAGCATTTGATTTACATTAAAAGGGCAGTTCAGTTGCATGCTGTTCCTAATTTATAGCAATGAAACTTACATCAGAGTGTCCAATTATGATCATTTAAAGTTTTGTTTTACAGCTATGAACATTAAAAAAAAACTCTACCTAAACTTTTTTTACCAATAAACTTAATATTTAAATATTGGCAAATATAATGTTAAAATATAAAGCATTCATTTAGACATCTGCACACTGTGTAAATTTTTTTAGCATCCATTATGCTTGTAATTAAGATTCTGAAACATAATGGTTAACCTGGCTATCGACAGGTAGACCACATCTGATAACACATTTTGCCAACTGTGTAATGTGACTTGTGACACTACTTTAAAAAATGTAAATGAGTCAGTAAGTAAAAACTCTAAACAACATTGCTGTTGGACAAAGCACTTTAGGGTAGTCTGTTAGCCAATATAACCAAAAGGTGTCAGGTTAGTTTTGTGTAACACTTTTTATTTACTTGTTCATAGTATTTATTTACTTTGTTTGTGTATTTTGGGGAACTAAGTACTGAAACTTAATATATGAAATAAAAAAATAATAGCTTTTTAAACTTTTATTTAATGTTTAAAGTGGAGATCCATTTAGATCCACCTTGGAAAACACAGCAAGTTTCTCATATGATATATCTACTAAAAGACAGAAAACATGACAAACTGTATTCTAAAAAAAAAATCAAATTAACACTTTCATATTAGTCAATATTATTACTTAATTTAATTTAAAACTGAATAAATATAAATTTACACATTTACACAAGTAATAAATAGACTTAATGATTAGCAAAAATTCTGCAAAAATCTGCAAATTTCTGCACACGCAGATTCCGTGTAGGCCTACTTATATGCTAAATTTACCATTTTATAACACATTGCACCTGCAGCAAGGATCAACCAAAATATATATACACATACTGAAAGCAAAATTTCGTAAATACTGACTTGATTATTACATTTTAAGTTATTTGATTGATTGATTGATTGATTCATTGATTGATTCATTCAGTGATTCATTCATTCATTCATTTAGCGCAACACCCATATTTTAACCAACTATCCTGGTGTAGGTGGTAAAAAAAAAAAAATCAGGGTTTGACTTCTAATGCTTTGCCTATACTGCCACCCTCTGACCAACATAGGCTACCTGTTTCCTAAAAGTTTTTTTTTTTTTTTTTTTTTTTTGGTACTGTTGGTAGAAAGCAAAACAAAATAGATAATTCATACATTAATGTAAAAATTAAGATGGACTGAATTCATATGATGTTAAACAATACTTGGTGCTGACAAGGATAAAACAGAAATATATGATTATTAAAAAATTTAAAATAAATAGTTCTTAAATAAAAACTTACCTACCCGGTTTGTGTGTGTGTGTGTGTGTGTGTGTGTGTGTGTGTGTGTGTGTGTGTGTGTGTGTGTGTGTGTGTGTGTGTGTGTGTGTGTGTGTTTTAAAATTCAAAATTGAATTTTGTTTGCCCTTTATTATCTTAGCTTTTTTCTATCTGTTTATTGATGTATTTTTGTGTGTATCTGTTAGCTTTATTTTTCGTATGCCGTAAAGGAGATTCATACAATAAAGTTTATTAATATTTTTATTAATGTTGTTATTATGTTAAGACATTGTGTTTGCAAAAGCTATCTATATTTCTATCTTTATATATTATTATTAAGCACAACAACAATAATAATAATAATAATAATCACAAACATAAATTCTGTGCGTTTATGCAGGTTGATCATCTTTATTTCAATAATGTTATTTTGCTATATATTAATAAAAATGCTGAAAGAAATGCATTATTATTATTGTTATTTTCATCATTAATATTATTATTAGTCGTTTTAATTTAGAATATTCTTCTCACACCTGTGATTTTTACATATACAGCTGAAATCAGAATTATTACCCACCTACTCCCTTTGAATTTGTTTTTTTTTTTTACCTTTTTAAATATTTCACAAATTATGTTTAAAAGAGCAAGGAAATTTTCACCATATGTTTGATAATATTTTTTCTTCTAGAAAAAGTCTTTTTTGTTTTATTTCGGGTAGGTAATTTTTTTTTTTTTACATTTTAAGTTCAAAATTATTAGACCCTTAAGCTATTTTTTTCAATAGTCTACAGAATAAACCACCTAATTAACCTAGTTAAGTCTTTAAATGTTACTTTAAACTATATGGAAGTGTCTTGAAAATATCTAGTCAAATATTACTTACTGTTATCGTGACAAAAATAAAATAAATCAGTTATTAGAACTATTATGTTTAGAAATGTGTTGAACAGATCTTCTATCAGTTAAACAGAAATTGGGTGCAAAAATAAACAGGGGGGCTAGTTCAGGGGGGTTTGACAATTCTGACTTCAGCTGTATATCCGACCTGCTGTAACAGGTGATTTCCCTTCCCATCATGGCTTCTCTCTGACGCTGGCTGCGTATTCCACGTCGGCAAAGGAACGTCGGCGCCTGTCGTCAGATCCGCAAGGCATTTCGGGCTGCTGGAGGCTGATTCGCCCAATAATACAAACAAGCCGCCGGACATAGTGGAATCGGTTGAACATGCGAATAAACGCTTGCTTGTGATTTAACATAAACTCAGCCTTCATGAATGCACGCTGTTATTGTCTCTGCACTCTTTCGGAAGTGTCAGGGTTTGATTGCGCGTGAACCAGGATAAATATCCAGCACGCGTGACAAATAGCTCATCCTAGAGAAGGAAACGCACAGGTAAGATAATCATTTATATGTCTTTATCTTTATTCATGCAGCCCTTATGCCACTTAGCAGACGCGGGTTAAGGTTTATGTAGTGCGCTGTGGTGAAGAATAAAACACGACGTCAACAGAAATAATAATAATGGGCGGCTATAACTTACGGTCCTAATGTGTTTTATTTATCTTGTTTTCATTTATGTTTGTAATATAAAATGGAAGGCCACTAAGCGACATGAACTGCCTCTTGGACGCTGGATATTTGAGCCAGAAGGCTGTACCTGGCACATTATTACAGTGATGCCATATGTGATCATGCCGTTAGGGCGATAATGTATAAAAAGTATATTTTTGAAGTCGAAATAACGTGCTTTTTTATTTTATTTTTTTGTAAAAATGTATTTAAAGTGTTATTTTCATCTCGAGTTTGTACAGCTGTCACAGTTTGCCTGTTCCACCTGTTCACCCAGGACAGGTTGTTTGGTTCGAGTTTTGACAGAACACAGATCAAGCATTCGTTTACCGACTGTTTAAACCACTAAATCCTTTTGTTCATGTACTTAAAATAAAAAAAATAGTATTACAGTTTTTTAACGATTTATTGTTTAACACTTGAGTAAAGCACGGGCCAATAACGTTCCAGTGTTGGCAGCGAAGGGGTTGGATTTGCTCTTTCCCTATTTACCACTTCTTGCATCGCAATATGCCCGTTTGCATAGGCCAACTAACGTTATTTAGTAGATGACAAACAGTTTTGCATAGTGTAGCGTGACGATATGTTCTGACGAGATTCTGTGGCATCTGAAGGACACGTTTTACTATCCCATATGGCCATTGACAACAAGAAAGGAAAGGCTGATGACTTTACAAAGCTATGCAACTGCCTGTAGTTTACATGACAGATAGACATTGTGGGATGTAGCCTAGTATTTCCATATTTCATTGATAGAACACATTCATACTGTATAAAACATACTATTAACGGTTAAGAGGCAAGTTTCCAATCAAATGTAATTCAATTTAAATTGATTTAGGAGTACAGCAGCTGTCTAGACTTATTGTTAACAAACCAGAGATACAATTGGTTTTTATATCCATTTGGCCACGAAATAGCCATAAGTTGCTGATGTGGCAATAAATAAGTAATAAATAAATTAATTAATAAATGCAATTAGTTTTTGAGAGAGAAATGCTTATGACAGTCTTACTAAAACCTTTTAGCATATTTGTAAGCATGCATATTTTAGTTTAGGTCTTTTTTGAAAACAAAATAGTTGAGTGAATGATACAATGACTCTCTCATAAACTCACATCCCATGTCTTTGCACTTGCCCGGATTGGCTAATCTGGGGAACCGGGAGAATTCCCAGTGTACTGGTCCATTTTTGGCCAGCGAGGTGTCCCTAGCTGCTTGCACTCTAAGCAGTCGCACTTTTTCATTTATTTTTTATTTGACCATAGACTCACTCTTCTTATTTATTATTTTGCCGCAGCTCCGATCTTTTTATTTATTTTCTCGAACCCCCTTGAGCAAAATGCAGCCTGCAGGTTAATGATGACCCCAAACAGCAGCACCCTAGTGAATATAAGAATTTGAATAATTAATACTAATGAATATTACACCTGCTCAATGAAAATCAGATGATTCATTAAATTAATTAATCTGACATAACTTGATTAGAAATCTGAAAAGGGGAGAAAAAGATTAAGCCATCAATAAAAAGTAAGACTGTGGTGAAGAGTCTTGCAGGTGCAATCCTTACTTTTCTTTTCAATCGCGCCAGCATAACAGCGCCACTGTGGTCCAGTGGTCAGCACATTGCGTTATGATGCCGCACGTCAGTAATATTTTTTCTTTTCTTTTTTGGTGTTAAGACATTTGGGTTACTTATATAGGTGTACATATTTTATTTTTTATGACCACCGTTCAAAGGATTGGATATCTATAAAGAGTTTTACACAGAATATATATTCAGGTATTGCAGGAAAGGACCTTGTGATGTTTTAAAGAATAGTGTTGGAGATTTAGCTACACTTAATGTTCTCATATTTATGAAAAACATTTAAAGTTCTAAAGCGGCTGTTTCCTTGAAAAAGACATGACAATGTCATCAGAAACTGAATTGGAAATGACGTTATTTTAATGTAGTCAGTCTGAACTGAGGTGGGCCAGTCTAAGGCTTGAAACTCCAGAGCTGAAAAGGAGTCCCACTCCGGCCCTGATTGCAGGTGTGCTTAGATCTTATAAGAAATCAATAAGACACGCTTGAAACATAGTGTTGTAAATGTGCAATATATAAAGTTTTACACATATTTATATGATAATAAAATTACAGTTATAGTGCAAGTTTTAAGTTCACTTCTAGTGCAAAAGTGTCATGTGACAGCTTCATTGTAATAATGATGCAATACACTTTACCCTCGTATATTGCTACAAAATTAATTTAGCATACATTGTTTTTGATATGGCACATTCTTGCGCTTAGGGCTGGGTGAAAATCTTGATTAATTTAATATTTTAACTCTATTATGATTAATGAGCGATTATTTCATTTATTTATTTTTTTTGTTTTTGCCCTCATAGCTCACTGATACGTTTTGAACAGTAAATATGTTCACATATAACAAGTCAGAGAAGGGTGCTTTACTTGATTTTAAAATAACCGAAGTTTACGCACACTATGTACTATCTATATTTATTTATTGACTGACATAAAACACACATTGCCTAAAACGCGGCTCTCTGCATCGTGCCCGTGTCGTCACCGCTACCATGTAACTGCATTTTTTGTGAGGTGCGTGGATGTGCAAAGGCTGCATCGGACTGTACACATACCATTGCCAGAAGTATAATATCAGAACAATAGGTATAAATCATAATAGAATAACTACAATTTAACCTTAACAGATAGGGGTCACATGACACGGACAAGGTAGGGAAATAATTGAAAAAATTGAGAGGATCTGAATGTTGATTACTTTTAGATTTATAGCCCAGACCTATTTGCGTGCTCACTTTTTGTCACTTACATGCACTCTCAAGTGGCCAAGATTGCAATTGGGGTTACTGGTTTACAAAAGAAGAATTTAGTGAATTGTTGTGAACAAATCCTTTAAGTGAACCCATTCAAGCTATTTAAATCAATAGGCTGAATCTTTGCAATTAGTCTAACTTGGAAAATATCGTGTTACCCTGCTGTCCCTCTGAGACTTCATTTTAGGAAGGTGCTTAATGAAGCAGTATCACCAAGCTAAGCTAGCATAAGCTGTGTTTCTATTCACTGTAGTGGTTGTCATAGATGCAGCCTTGGTTAGATGGCATGCTTCCTCCGCAAATTCAGTGGAAAATCACAGTAAAAAAGCCAAAGTCATTGATGCATGTTGTACTATGATCAAATTACTGGCCTATTTGTTTGTATTCTAAGATTTTATTGATCTTTTAGAGCCATTGTAAAATGCTCCATATGTTTGCAGTAGCCATGTTGCAGTTCTGTAAAATATCTCTCCTATGCAAGTGTGTATGACACTGAAACATCAACCAAACAGATCCCAAATGTGCTTCTGAAAATGTTGAATTATTTAATTGGATAGAGAGCTACAGGTTCATTCATTGCTGCCTGTAGATGGTAATATTGAACAGCATGCTGCTATTGCTAGGTATTCAGAAGTAATGGAGAATGTCATTCACATCCTCAAGTAGCTGATAAAGGTTATAATGCGAGCCACAAATTGAAACATCATTGTGGCACAAAGACCTTGCCGCAGTTTTCGTTACGCTAAGGGTATGTTGCTCACACTAATGCCTTCAAATGGTGTCACAACATCCCATTGACCATCGTCCCATGCCATCGGTATAGTAAAGTAACACTTGCACTGGCTCACTGCCATCACCACCATCACCGAGTGCAAATTTATTAATGCCAGTTTTCCATTCCTGTGGTTTACAGATAAGACCTGAACCATTAGCTTTTATCCTGCCTAAATTTCATGCTCTAGCACTCAGGAGAATTAAATGGCTTTTATGTGAAGGCAGGCTATGATGCCTCCTGCACAGATCGACCCTCTGAGCGCCTGTCTAAAGCTGAAGCTTAGACGAACTTGTATGAGTCACATGATTGTTACATAGCTCCCTGCATTCCTATATTTTTCCTCTACGCATTGAGGAGGCTGTGGCTGGCAGCTTTATGGGAGCTAACAATGAAAGCCTGCTTTGAGAAGTTGCTCACTCATCATTGTGAAGCGCCTCCCACAGGTGTGAGAGGATTGGGTTCTGAATAAGACAAAAAAGCACATATCAATGGAAAATATCTAGGAACTCAGGACCTATTTACACCTGGTAATATATTTTAAAATTATTTTAGTTTCTGTTCCAAGTGGACATTTGTAACCACACGTGTAAATGGGGGCAATAAGTATAGTTTTGAGTACACTTTTGACTGCTTCCAGAGGTATTTGAACAGTCATTCAGTTGAATTTCTTTTACAGCGTAGTAGATGCTCATGTGTTCAAAAGAACAGCCATGAAACCCATTTCAGAACTACTGGGTGTTTTGTTAAAATGCACTTTCCAAAGTAGATTTAAACTTTGTCTTAAATCGAAAGTTTGTTTTGAAGGTCAAAGAAATATGCACTTTAAGGCAGGATAAGTAATTAAGGCAGGATTATTAATCAAAATGAAATTACAAGCACTATTGAGAAAAGCTGTACTTGTCATGCACATCTTGTTAGAGAAGCAAGGCTGTGTCATCAGTAGTAAATGGCCAGAGGGCACTCTTGCTAGAAACTCCAAATATGCATGAAGAAAAAACCCAGGAAATTCTCATAGCATTGCATAGACAGAAGATTTAACTGCTTAGGGTGATTCAGTGTTACTAATAATCACTTCACTGTGGAATCATCTCACAGAAGGATTTATTGTAAACAATTGACTAATGTTGTAAGTAGGCCCATACGGAAGATCCGCAGATTTTTTGCCCATCATTAATTCGGTTTATTTACTTGGGTAAATGTGTGTAAATCTATATTTATTCCGTTTTTTTTTTTTTAATTAATTTCAGTAATATTATTGACTGATGTGAAAATGTTCATCTGATTTATGTACAATGCAATGTGTACAGTATTATTTTCTGTCTTTTACTAAATATATTATATGACAAACTTTCTTTATTTACCAAATAAAATGAATCTAATGGGATTTGCATTTTAAACATTAAATAAAAGTTTAAAAGATATTACCTCTTATTTTATATATTAAGGTTTTAGTTATGATACTTCCAAAATAATTCCACAGAAATCTGCAGATTTTTACCAAAATTCTCAGCAGAAATAGCAAAAAACGTCCGCAGATTCCGTCTGGCCCTAGTTATGAGTAAGTTTTAAGTAAAAAAATGTTGTTGTATTTAGTATTTTTACATGCAGCATTTGTCAGTTCACTGAGAAGCGACACAAACAGCTGTCATTATCCCAAAACGATTGTCTTGACATAATGTCTGCGCATAGATGGATTTGCTCTTTAGTGTTTGAACTCTCAGCAGTGAATATTAAACCACACTTAACTGAACTAAACTGAACTTTAACACTGAAAACTGAACTAACACTTTTTCAATTTACTACAATCTTCTATGTGAACCTGCTTTGACACAATCTACATTGTAAAAGCGCTATACAAATAAAGATGAATTAAATAATAATTGTACTATAAATCAATACAAATTTTGAACAATTGGGGTAGCTTGTCTGTGTACTACGACTCCTTCGAAACGCATGTGCTAGAGGTTTACTAAAACCACTTTACTGAGAAAATGTGCATGAAAATGGCTTTGCTTAATCACCTACACTCAGAAATTAAGGTACGCGAGCTGTCAATGGGGTGGGACCTTTTTTAAAGGTACACATTTGTACTTAAAGGGTCCATATTGGTACCTCAAAAGTATATACTAGTACCTAAAAAAATTTAAGAGGAACACTTTTGTACATTTTAGGTACTATTATGTACCCTTGAGGTATTAATAAGGAACTTTTATATACAAATTTTTACCTTTTGAAAATGTACCACCCCAGTGACATCTTGCATACCTTTATTTCTGAGAGCATAAGGTGCACTCACACAATGCTATCCAAAAAGGTAAAGGTGCAGTGCGAGTGCGGGCCGTCTGGGGAGAGGGAAGGTAGGTACATCTGCGCTTTGTGGCAGTTCAAGGCAACCATGCCTAGTGAGAGTACAGCCCTAGCCTTAAACACTGTGTTCTCTAACCAGTCCTGATTCTAACACAAAGCCATAATGCTAGGCATAATAAGATGCCACTCTCTGTATCATTATCTGCCCATGTACATGCTCATGTCTAAATTTATGGTCTTACTTCCCAATATTAGACTGAAAGATTAGAAAAAGCCCATATAAAGTATACATCAGCCCATAGATACTTATTTTAAAGAATCAAGAAAGTAGTCAAAAGTTGAGTAAAACAAAACATACAAGTGAAAATGCTGGATCTAAAATGTTTCCCTCATCTACTTGTAATCCAGTCAACCAAAACACTTTTTAATACCAAGCGTAAACGGGGCCTCAGAGGCGTTTCTTAGTTTAGAGTGAAAGATCTAGTCCTTGAACTTCTTTGCAGTTCCTTTCATAGTAATGACTGGGTTGGGCTCAGCCAGATCTGATAAGAGCTTTTGAAGAGAACATTCCTGAGGAAGCTCTTTTCCATCTACACTTTCCGGCAAACGTATGCATACAGAAGCCATATTATAATTAAATACAGGACATATCTACAGTGTCATGTCATCATTTATTCAACCACCTGTTTTCTTTTTTCCACAAAATCTTGTCTCAATCTTTCGAGTTAACCTGTAACAATCAAGCCATTGTTATCTGAACAACATTGTTAATTAGGAGCTATTTAAATGTATGTATCTGAAGGCTTTTGTAATACACTTAAGAGCTTTTTTTGTTTTATTTACTTTTCTTTATTTCTCATCTGGCTCTGTTTCAGTAACACTCAAGTATGGCGGACAGTATGATGAGTAAAGCCGCCACAATGGAGATTCCTATTAGCAGTAATGGGGACTCTCGAAATCTGGCAGAAGATGACAGTTTGGAGCAGGTGAGCAATACATGGTGATTCAGTAAAACTGGAACAGTTTTTTTTTTTTAAACAGTGATTTTTGTCAAAAGTAGCCCAGTTTTCCTGAACTTTCCAAAAAAGTTTGACTTTTAAATCTATTACATTTAGAGCTTGAACCATGTCAAAAGCATCAGAATGTGGATGTCTGTGCTTTGTTCCCATGCGTTTAGGTTTTCATAGCTTAAGAGGATAATATCTAGCTGTCCATCCAGTTTGTTTAGCTTGCTTGTCTAAGTTTCACAATATCAGTCTGAGAAAAAGTCTCAAGGTAGCAGGTGATGCAAACATTTAGTTTATAATTGTTCTGCTCTTTTGTTTTTTGAAAATTTTAATCCTTTAGCATTCCTGTAATTAATGTCTTGTTGTACTATGGACAGAAAACTGGAACACTAAGGGGTTAAGCAACCTTTAAAAAATAATGTTCTGATAGACTTGTTAATAAGTAATAGAATTTATTTATAAAAATGCCTTGTGTGGAGACTTAAGTTTGATAAGTAGTAGTAGGCTTATGCAGAACAAAGTGTTCAAATCTCCCTATTCTTGAAGCCATTGTAAATAAAAGGTGGTAATGTTTTCACAAGACACACCTCTTTAGGCCAAATAAACTGTGGCACCGGATCCGGGAGTAGACGTGTTAGGCAAACACAAGCAAGATATTTACTAGGAAGTTTAATTATTCCTATAAGGAACTCAAGGTTCTTTGTTTTAATTTGCTGTTAGCAGTGTTTTTTGTATGTGTGTCAGTCTCATGTCCATTTTATAACCTCATCATAGAAACACTGTGACTGATCATGTTCACAGTTGCATTAATGGCTCAGCTAAAGGCAGATGGCACTGTGTCTTTAAATAGATTTGGGAGAATTGAGCCAGAATGTGAAAAGAGATTTTTTTTAACAGTTCTTGTCATTAAGCAGAGAAAGCAAGTGTGGCTCATTTTTCCTAAATCATCCTTTCGTTCCCTGAAATCTGGAGTGACAGTGATATTTAGCAACCTAATTTATGACATAAAGAGGATTTATTCATCGCTTAATGAGGGCTGAAATTACACACATTACTTTGTCTCTTTTTTTCTTTTTCATTGTCAACCCTTGAAGCCTGTCATCATTGTATTGTGACGATTGGTTAATGGCTTTAAATGTGGATTTTGTTGTGTTTGATAGATTATTTCATCATCACTGTTTCAAAGTTTGTTTCTGTTTTTTACATCGTGCTTCATTTTTGGTTTCTTTTCTTTCTTTTGTCTTTTTGTTGTCATGTTCTTCCCCCGATGTCTGTGCAGGCTGCAAAGATTCAGTGGAGCTTAAGAGAGAAGGTAGGGAGTCCCGCAGGCCTCAGGGTGAGAAGGAACACTGGGAAGGGTTGCCGAGTGTGTGTGTGCTTGCACGTGTATGTCTTTCCAGCAGAAATTGGCTTTAGTTCTCCCTATAACCTTGTCACAATGGACTGGATGTTTTTCAAATCACATGCATTATTTTTTGGCCTCAGTCACTCTTTATCAATCAGTGTTTGAGGTCAGATACAAATCTAAGTGATACAAATTTAGTTTATTTGTTTTGAAAAACATCCTGTTTTGTCTCTCTGTGGTATTAACCAAAGTATAGCAACCTTTTAGTACCTATTAACTTTTTATGTTTGATGGATTTTGTTTGAACTCTCATAATATGTTGTTTTGTTATACACTACCTGACAAATGTCTTGTCGCCTAGCCAAGTTTTAGGAACAACAAATAATAAGTTGACTTCTAGTTGATCGTTTGTTGTCAGAAGTGGCCTATATGAAAGGCAAGGGCCTCTAGATTACGCTTATTTTACCAAAATAAAATATGATCATGCTTTGATTTTTAATTATGTAATTATGACACTAAGGTCTTACTTTGCTTAGACAACAGTCTTGTCACTTAATAGAAATAATATACAGTATAGAATATAAAGTCATGACTCCCATGAGCTTGGATGACTGCATCCATACATCTCTACAATGACTCAGAAAACGTATTAATAAAGTCATGTGGAATGGCAAATAAAGCATTCTTGCAGGACTTCCAAAGTTCATCAAGATTCTTTGGATTTCTCCATCTTACCCCAGACATGCTTGATAATGTTTATGTCTGGTGACTGAGCTGGCCAATCATGGAGCACCTTGACCTACTTTGCTTGCAGGAACTTTGATGGGTAGGCAGAAGTATGAGAAGGAGTGCTATCCTGCTGAAGAATTTGGCCTCACCTGTGGTTTGTAATGTAATGGGCAGCACAAATATCTTGATGCCTCAGGCTGTTGATGTTGCCATGCACTTTGCAGATCTCTCACACGCCCCCATACTGAATGTAACCCAAACCATGGCTTTTCCTTCACCAAACTTAACAAATTTCTCTGAGAATCTTGGGTTGATGATTGGGATGCAGTTCAACAGATGATTCATTGGAAAAATCTACCTTTTACCATTTTTCTAAATGATCAACTAGAAATCAAGTTATTGTTTGTAACTTACAACTGGGATAAACGACAGGACTTTTGTCAGGTAGTGTGTATAAAAGGTGATGATGGTCAGCACAGAACAGGTTGTCATTCTAAACCTCACTTTTTTCCCCTGGGTAGAGAAATCCTGCGTTGAAGCATGTTTAGTGCCACTTTGTGCGTTATGAAATGATGGAATGTTAAAATGTTGCATTTACAAACTTAAGACCCATATGTGTACCTTAAAATTACATCCTTTAGGTAGTCATGGAAACAACTCATTGTATAAAAATTGGAGTGATATTTACTTGTTTTTAGCCTTTAAATTGTTTTTATATTTATTCTAACCTTTATAGTTTGAAAAGTTCATTCACCTTAAAAAAACCTGTTAGCAGTAGGCACAGCAGTATATAAGTGGTTGCACAAGACTTGAGTCTTAATGTAAACTTGCTGTATTCGCCCTTGCTGTTTTCATTGTAATTATTCCCCTATCGATGACACTGGCATTGCAAATATGCAACAAAAGATGTTAATCCAGGAGTTAATGATGTACAGTTTAAAAATAATACATTTAATTCTTAACCCTGCATCAACTGTAAGCAAATTGAAACCAAAAAAGATAACCCAGGATTTCATTTATCTATTTTTTCGAGTGACCTATGGTCAATTATTTGTGTTTTATATCCTAGTAATAACAGCAGATATGTTTCACAATTTGTTTTGGAAAATAAATTAAACTGAACTGTATTCCTTATAGGATAGTTAGTAGGATAGCCACTAAATCAGATTTTAAGGGTCTGAGTTTTTTTTTTTCTTGGTGACTAATCTAGCAAGTACCTCACATTAGATAGTCAGTGTTGCATTTTGTACCAAGCCCTTTGCTCAATAATGCTTGCAATGTAAAGCAATTTAAATAGCTTTGTAGACTGTCAAATATTGTACTTTACGATTTAATTTGCCTTTGTTTCTAAACATTTTTATTCAACTTTTTTTATTAGCAAATAAGGTTTTTGTTGTTTATTTTTAAGGTGGCCCTTTTTCTTGGTTTATGGTGCCCGATAAAATTTAGCACACTGATGCTGGTTCCTAAATGCTTTTATAGTCACTAATGTGACTTGGTTAAGATAGCAAACTGCTGCTTCCATGTGCTGCAACTTCTCTGTAAGCTTTGGCTTTTGGTTTCTTTACATTTTTCAGAGGGATTGTTTTAACAGGTTGTTAAAAAATTGTTGTCATACAAACATAATTCTTATTAATTCTGGGTGAAATGTGATTCTAACCCTATTAATTTACAACTTGTTTGTGCGTGTGTAGAACTTTCAGAATTGGCTCACTTCATGAAAAATAATGCTGGTTGTAATGGTGCATTTTTAAGATCTCGTCCTCTTTCTGATTCTGTCTCTCCAGGACTTGCAGCAGGTAATGGTGTCTGGGCCCAACTTAAATGAGACCAGCATCGTATCAGGTGGTTACGGCGGTACAACAGAAGGCATCATTCCAACCAGCTCCATCAAAGGTATTGCAGGCAGTCGTTCTTTAGCTTTTCACAAGAACAACGCAGTCTCATCGAGCAAAACTGTTTATTTTTAATATGTTAGGCTAAAGAAATTAGTCTAATCAAGCTGGTGACTTTTTAATCTTTTGGTGGTGTTTTGGTGTATTTTCTACTATCTGACACATGCGTTCTGTAGAGGTTTGGTTTAAAATGTGCAATTTGATTTGCATAATTTCCTCTTTGGCTTTTTCCCTCCTATCTCTCCTGTGGTGCAATCCAGACGAGAGCCAGGGCCTCTGGAGGCATTGGCCATTGTGTGTATAGGTAGTGTGTGAGTCATGCTTAATGGCTTTAAAGTTTGACATTAACCAGAGTGAATAGGTCACAGATTCTTGGAGATGAATGAACTTCAGTTTAGAGTTTGTTTGTTTGTTTGTTTGTTTGTTTGTTTGTTTGAAATAAATGTCCTCTTTAATGAAAAAAGGTCAACTTTTATGAAGTCACCCTGACTAAGTCTAATTTTTAATTCAGTCCAGCTAATAGCCATAAGTTGCTGATGTGGCAATAAATATGTAATAAATAAATTCAGTCCAGCTTTTTTCTAGACATGTTATGTAGCAAACTGATTGTAAGTAATCTTGAGCCCTTGATATTAGTGTAAATCTATTCCTTTCTGATTCAGTGAGGACTTTCTGTGTCTTGTACTCTTTCTTAGGCCCTGCAGTCCGTATTAATACTGATTTTCTGGGCAACAGACGCATTCCAAATGAAGGGCAAGGTCATTTGTATCAACTTCTCATGATGCCTTTTTTCATACTTTTTTCCCCAAATACATTTTTCTCAGGGCTTGGGATGCTGTTCTGCAGGAATAAATTAAATCTCTTCTGTTTTTCTGGCTTTCAATTTCTCTCTTAGCAGATTGGAACGGGCTGCATTTCTCTTTCAAGATTTTCTTTCTTTCCAGGGTTAAGGTTGCCTTGCAGAAGTTTGTAATGAGGCATCTTTTAAAAATTACTTTCGGAAATCAGTTTGAAAGTTTAATCTGGCTTTATTATTGCTGAGGAAATGATTAGGAATAAATCTGCTGCAGAATGGCTGGGTGTAAAAAAAAAAAGTGTAATTAAGATGTTTTCAGGACAGAACAGTCTGATACTCAAGTCCGTTTTTGTGTAAATGAACACATGCTACTAAAAATAAATGAACCGACATATTGGGGTTTAAAAAAACTGTTGTGTTATTTTTAAATGAAGTGTGAAGTGAATTATCTCCATCTGTTTGTCATAAGGCAGCAGGTTTAACAAAATAGCAGTCGTGTGCTTTCCTGTTTTCATTTCATCTCATTACAATATCACCTTTTCTCTTTGATCCTCTCTTTTTTCCCTTTCCCCTCCTTCCGTTCTCCTGCTGTTCCTTCACATTCACACACATATGCACTGGCATTATTCCCATACACTTCACACTCACATGCGATAATCCATTTCATTTTAAAAAAATTATTCCTCCAATTATTTTTTTAAACTTGCCATATCCACTCCCTGCTCCCCATTACCCAACAACCCCTGCTATCCCTGGCCATGACCCCTCCAGACCTCCGAATGAAGTCCAGGGGTGTTAGCATTGCCCCAAGCCAGATTGCAGCCTGCCGAATAGCCAGCCAATCAGATGACATCCTCTGTATCCCAGGTATCCTGAAAGGGCGTTGGCCCCTTCAAGCGCTCTTTGGCAACACATCCCCCCAATTCAGTAAAACACATTCATATGTTCTCTCATCTCATCTGTTTTACATCTCTTTGATGCAATAATGGCCATAACATTGGTGTAAACTGTTATAGATGTTTGTACAGTGTGTGCACATTCATAAAGACTTACTGTAATCATTTTATGTTTATCAGGGTCCAATATGGATTATGTCGGTAGCAATTCCTCAATGGCAGCAGAAGAAGCCACAAGAGGCGTTGCTGTGGAGAAATTTGACATAATGAAGAAATGGGGTCTGAACACATACAAGGTTTGTCAATTAACTGTTGATGTTTCTTATTAGATGTCATGTGCTGTTATTACATAGCTGCCTTGAGTGCTCGATTCTGATTGGCTAGTTTTCACATTCCAAGATATGTTATTCCAAGATGACAACCGCTAAATAACACAGGCTCATCCTGGAAATTTAAATCACCTTGTCTGTCAGTGAGCACGAATTCATATCCATATACTTGCATCCTCATTTATATATATTTGTCTGTTATGCTGCTGTTATTGACTGCATAGCGCAGTCTTTTGAATGAATAATACTTGGGTTATTACGATTTTCTCAGTTTAGTTTCTGTCAACTTTGTTTTTGACTGTTTGGCACCATTTTGTGACTGAATAATGCGCAAGTTAGTGTACAGTCCATCAGCTGTTTTCGTTTCTGTCAGCTTTGTGTTTAATTTACGACTTAACAAACTATTTTGGCTCAGAACAATGTAAGTAGGATAAAGTACATCCAGAATGGTTGTTTTTTGCAAAATAAAGACCTTCAGTCTTCTACAAAAGCCACTTCATGTATGGCTGCTGATAAACCTATCAGCCTTTATTAAAGACTATAGAATACATAAGACATATCACTCTGTCGTTTTGAATGGGGGTGTAAAAAAAATTAAAAATAAAGCCTGCCTTCAAGTACAGGAGCCAATCATAGATCGTTATATGGCAAATAAGGCCCATCTTTTAGTACAGGAGCCAATCATCGATCGCTATAGACTAGGGATGCACGATATATCGGCGCCCATATTGTTATCGGCCGATAAACGCTATTTTTAAGATTATCGTTATCGATCCGATGTCATAATTAGGCCAATATATTTAAGCCGATAAATTACGAAATTGTACAGACCTGCATGCCGCGCTTGTGTGGACGGAACATGTTCAGACTTGTCCAGTGCACTATGAAGCTCTCCTCACACTGTTTATTCCTTTAAAGTCTGTCCTTTCTTCAAGTGGTATTGCTGTGCGTTAATAACTCAGTAAGTAAACACGTTCCTTATCATTGTAGATATGCTTGATTGAGAGTCATTGTGTATTTTGCTTTAAATCGCCTCAGGAAAAATATTACATGTGTAAACCTTTCCTGCTATGTCTCTTTGTTGTGTTAAGAGATATCAGGAGAGATTCACTTATTACTCCAGGGCCGTTGCAGCTGGTGAATGAAAGAGGACACGTGTAACTTGGTCAAAAATATTAATTACTTTCCGTGTGGTACAACAAATAAGTCACCAAAGAGGAAACATCACAGAAAATGGTCTCATTGCTTAAAAACCGCTCCTCGTTTCTCTCTCCCTCTGTCTCACACACACCCCAAACCCAGCCCCGTTGAAGGACCTGCACATTTTACAACACCTATAAACATAACTGTTGTTTGTAATCTGATTATTTGTTATTATCAACGCGTTGCTGGTCATGTGTTGTTGATGTAAGATGTATTCAGTTTGATCGGAATATTCATATTGATTATAACGAGGGCGAGCTGTCACCGCACACACACTGGAGCACGGGGGAGAGGCGAGAGGTGAATCCAGTCAAAGGGGCTCTTAACTAGCCGCTCATCCTGTCTTTATATTCTGCTCTGTGTTTGTCATAAAGTCAGCTCAATGCAGGTTTTGTATCAAAATCTGACTCTGATGGCAACTCTGCCTCTACAGTTGAGTAAAACTCTCAGCGGTTTATCATAAACTTTACATCGATCATTTTCCCGCGATTGACGGCAAGGATGAGCGCAGAAGCGTCTGATTGACAAGCAGCAGTATTTAGCTGTTGGCTTGTACCGTGGCTCCAAACTGTCAAAACACCTCTGATAAAGGCTTTTTTAGACATGACATATTTGTACATGTGTACATCCCTGTAACATGTTTTATTCATGACCATTTGAGCTGGTTTCAGTCCTTAGCTCTTTCATTTTCATCTTAAATATATTTATCTTGCTTGTTAATTAAATACCATTTTGTTATTTAAACTATTATTTTTATGCAACAATAAACTTGCATTTTAATTTGCTATGAAGAAAAGGAAATAATTTTTTTGCATGCTGATTTATGTGAAATGGTGAATTATAGGTCTATAATCACCTTGCAATTTTGAAGTTATAGCTTTTTTTGCTTTGTGTATAGGCTATTCAGTTCATAAGAGCAGTTCAATTTTTTTGAAGTTTGCTGTATAAACATATAACAATTTAAAATATTTATGATTATCGGCCTATACATATCAGCTATCGGCCTCCAAGTCTGAAGAATTATCGGTTGTCGGTATCGGCCAAAAAATCCATACCGGTGCATCCCTACTATAGACTGACAATACTCTGGGACAGGGGCTTAGACCAGATGTTAGTTTCTGCTAATTTTATGTGATTTGAAAGTTTAGAAATGAAACTAAAGACACAGTTATTTAATTTTATTGGTGATTTCTAATATGAAATTCAATCATAGGCTTGGAGTTTTGGAGAATTTGAAATTTCCTTATTTAAGCAGAGCATCCGAGCACACTGCCCTAAAGCCGTTTCAAAGATGGACCAGGGACTCTGGTCCCCTGGGCTATGCGCTGGTTGGGAAAATTCCAAATTGAAACAAGACAAACCATTACAATTTGCTTAGGATTGGCTATCAAAGACATTGCAACCTGCAAAACCTGGGTTTAAAAAAAAAAAAATATGCAGATTCAAAGATGGCCACCGAGTGAAATGACTTGTTTTAAAGGGACTTTGGCTTTATTCTGTGATAACAACCACCTGAATTTTCTTTATCCTTAGTTTAGCAACACTTATTTTGAAGCCGTTTGTATTTGTGATCTTTCTCTTTCTCTCTCAGTGCACCAAACAAATGATCTCTGAGAGGTTTGGCCGAGGATCACGTACTGTGGATTTGGAGCTGGAGGCTCAGATTGAGGTTTTGCGGGAAACCAAACGGAAGTACGAGAATGTGCTGCGTTTAGCACGAGCGCTAACCAACCACTTTTACAGCATGGTGCAGACGCAACACGCCCTTGGAGACACTTTTGCCGACCTCAGTCAGAAGTCCCCAGAACTTCGGGTGAGCCAGTGTGACCATCTTAAAGTTTATGACATTTGTTGTTACTGCCATGGAAAATTATGGGACTGGTGTAAATACATTTACTTATTTTAAGCTGTTGCTGAATGTATCATTCAAACTGTCAGTATTAAAAATATATTGTGCTAAAAAAAGACTGCTAAAATCCCTGCTAAAAGACACGTTTCCCATTTATACAAAAGATTAGTAACTAATACTGTACAAAATACAGATCGTGTTAAAGGAAAATGGGAACTAGAACTTAATACTATAATAGTGAATGAGGTCTGGATTGAGTTATGTGAAGGATGTCATAAAGAAACTAATAGTCAATTTTGGAAAGATTTTAATTGGAAAGTAAAAAATAAGGTACTTTAAATTCCTTTTGTAAATTCTACATATGTAAAAGGACCATCTGTTGCTTTGTGTTGGAGGAAATGTTGTAAAATTGGAGACCCACATTTTTTGGGACTGTCCTAAGATTCAAGAATTTTGAAAAAATGTAAAAAAATAAAATAAAAATATAAGATATTAGATATAGAAATACCCTTTGATCCAGTTGTGTGCTTACTGGGAGCACTGTCCAAAGAAATGTTTAATGAAGAAACAAGATTTGGACTAAGAATATTATTACTGGTTGCAAAAAATAATAATAATTATAACAGTGCACTGGATAGAAGAAGGTTCTCCAAATGTGTCTCAGTGGATTCAGACACTTAAACAGGCCTATCCGATGGAAGAAAATGACTGCATGTCTACAAAGGAAGACTGATCTTTTTCTGAAGAGGTGGAAAAGTATTACAACATATTTAGATATGTACATTTAGAGGTTTCTTAACCTATAATCAATGTAATTTGAGGTAACTACAATGTAACACAATGTAACTTGATGTACAAATGTACCTTGAAATGTACCCTGAAAAGTAATTATAATGGCAGTACCTTTTATTCATTTATTTATTTATTGTTGTATTATTTTTATTTTATTTATTTATTTAGTTTATGTATTCCCTCATCTGTAAGGGTTTAAATTGTTGGGCAAGGGGTTGTTCTGGAAAAAATATATATTGAGAAAACATAAATCATTTTTTTTTTTTAATTAACAAAAATAAAATAAAAAAATATATATAATATAAATATAAATATATATATTGATAATGTATAATATTGAGGTTTGTGCTATTGTTCATGTACAGGATGAGTTTGGATACAATGCAGAAACGCAAAAGTTGTTGTGCAAGAATGGAGAGACTCTGCTTGGTGCCATCAATTTTTTTGTGTCCAGCATCAACACACTTGTGAACAAAACGATGGAAGACACACTGATGACTATCAAGATGTATGAGAATGCCAGGTAAAAGCTGCTCCTGCTCTATCCTCTAGTATTGTAGCTTTCATTTGTTTTGAAATGCTCTATTGTGTTTTATTTATTTATGTATTTTTAACCTCTGATGCTACTGGATGTTATGGTTATTATGTGTTGCAGTTGTTTGGTTTATCATTGAATATTGGCATTGATACCTACCGATTGGAACTCTAACTCAGTCTTTAGATTAAAAATAAAAGGGCGGTAGGATATCCACTTTCACAGTTATCTATTTTGTATGGTTCAAGCTGAGACCTTTGGAAACATTTGATGCTGTTGTGCTGTTACTTGATGTACCTACTTCTGCTTAGCTGTCTACATTTAAGGTATTTCCACACCTGGCTCGTTTGGAAAATTTGTTTTTGGAGCCCTGCTTATTTTCTCTTGTAGATTGATTTGTTTGGGTATATACAAACATGGTAATTGCACTTCAGGCCAATAAAAATCAAAGATCATAAGAACAAGGTAGTTAAACTAAATACTCCTTATAATTGGTAAAGCTGTAAAATTAATGTCATGCATTGTTTCTGCACTTAGTGTTTATGATGAGTGAATTTGTGCTTGTGCTGAATTTAATTCAGTGAGCACAAATAACACAACATACCCCAGCATTTTAGTGGTGACTAATCTAAATGTCTCGCTTGTGTTCGCAAGCTCAGCAGAAATGTTTGTTAAGCTCAGAAAATGCACAAAATAATGCAAAAAAAAAAAAAGCAAACAAACTTCTAAACAAACAGATTCATGATTATGAAATATGAATGTTGCATGAAACACAGCAGTGTTTGTTTTGCTAAGGTCTTTGTATGCAAGTTACTTAACCTTAAATTATACATTTAAATGATTAATTGAAAATTTGTTTAAAAATCCAAAATAAAAATAATAATAATCCAGAGGCTTGATTCAAGCTTAAAATGCTGAAGTATATAACAACAGCTAGAACAGAAACTACAATAAGCAGTAAAACAATTGTTCATTCATCCTGAAGGATTATTGATACATTTTGTTAAAGACTCGGACTGATAATAATTAGCTTTTTGAAACAAACACGTTTTGCATTATTTTTGTAGTCTTATCATGTAAAACTATATCTCATTTTAAAAAGGCTAACTGTAAATGTAATTCATTACATGGCCAGTGCTTGAGCATAAGGCTCTGTCATTGGGGCTTTAGGCCATGGTAAAAGTAAATACATGTTGTTTATACATGTTTTACACTGTGTATATTCAATTTTGTTTGCTTAACAAACATTTTAGAGCATCAAAAGTTATCATGTGAAAGGTTTTGGTGGCTATATCTCAGGAAGAAAAGGCATTTGTTTTCTAACGTTGCTTTGTTCTGTAGGCTGGAGTTCGACGCGTACAGGGCAGATCTGGAGGAGTTGAACATGGGCCCACGGGACGCTGTTACTATGGCTCGTATCGAGGCTGCTCAGCAGCAGTACCAGATCCACAAGGACAAATATGAACGTCTCCGCAGTGATGTCACCATCAAAATTAAGTTCCTAGAAGAAAATAAGGTGCCAGACCACCTGCATAACTTCCTCTGCAAGTCCTGTTGCTTTTTGTTTTCTGACACGGTGTGTTTGTCTCTCTTCTACAGGTCAAAGTGATGCACAAGCAACTTCTGCTGTTCCATAATGCCATCTCTGCCTACTTTGCTGGAAACCAGCAGCAGCTGGAACAGACCCTCAAGCAGTTCAACATTAAACTCAAACCACCAGGGGCCGACAAACCCTCTTGGCTGGAGGAACAGTGAAAGTGCTCCATTACCCCTGGTTTCCTGTTGTATTTCTTTAGCCCCGCAGAGCAACACAGTAGGACCCTGAGAGACCAGCGATCTGAGATGCTAGAAGAGACAAGGCTCCAACAGAGAGCCCCTTTCACACTAACTCTCTTTACACTTCTCTTCCTTTATTCTTCTTCTCATCCTATTCCTGCTCTGAGACTGTTTTCAAGTGTCTGAATTGTGACCAGTCCTTAAAGCTCCAATCAAATGTCAAGGGTATCCAGTGCAAGCTTCATCCTTATAAATGTCATTAAACCGACTGAAAAAAAAACTTCTGATATATCAGTCAGAACAGCAGACAATTGTCAATATTCTCTCTGTCAGTGACCACATTTCAACGAACGGTTTCCTTTTTTTATTCTTTCCGTTTAAACTATTTGATTTCCTTTTATTTTATTTTAAAATCTCATCTGTCTTGTAGCTGATTAAGGATGCATATCATTCCTTTCACAGAGTTCCAGTGGTTCAGACTAAATGTAATTTTATTTTGTTAAAATCCAGAAACAGATTTGTCTGATATCTGTATTGCATCCTTTGTACATTTACTTAGCCACATGAATACCATAGAGTCAATGCTTGTTCAGTTTTGTCTTGTTTTTATATATATATATATATATATATATATATATATATATATATATATATATATATATATATACTCTAAAATATTACATTTAATATCTTAAAATGAGCCCCATTTTAAGTAATATTAAACTTAAATAAATAATTCTTTGAACTTTTCTGGACAAACTTTCACCCAATGTGGGTGTGTAGTTTTTTGCACATTTTAACAAAATTCCAAATTAAAGGATGAATCTAAAAATCACAGTCTTCAGTCAATATCGTTGTTTTGGAATGAAGAAGGATTTTTTTTTAAGCAATTTTTGATTTGTTCTGACAATTATAGTTTACTGTAGTATTATGTACCGATGCATAATGCTGTAGAAAGTTTGAAGGTTTATTATAATCATTTTGAGTTCACAATCAAAGTTAATCAAGGAAGTATATGTATGAGTTTAGTTTTTTTTTTTTTTTTTAACATGGGCCAATGGTTGTGACCCATATTATCTGCCTCTTTCTCTATGTGCACTAAAATTTATGTACTGACTTGTATTCTGTCAGGATTAGAAAAAACAAACAAAAATAATAATATTCTGCCATTCTGAATTCAAATGCTGTCTTGCCTGTTGGTTCTGATGCATCCTGTTTAATCCCTTGTACCTGCCTAGGAAAAAAAATCCAAAATGAAGGTTTTATGTGCCCTAAAACACCATCATAGCATTTTACACGTCATAATATTATTAATGTATCTTTCCATTAACCCAAAACATTATTTTACATAAAAAATGGTACAAATGTATTTTGTAATTGCACATATTACAATTTCATAATAACATTAGTTTAATGCATTTTAATATGGCATAATCAGATAAATCTTGCATATAGCATTTCACCTAAAATAGTTGTTTTTCCCTTAGAAATTGTTTTTTTTAACACTATTTGACCTTTCTTTCCCTTTGAAATTGGTGCCCCCCACTCCACTCCAGCAATCTTAAAATACACTTTGTTGCTTCTTCTCTAAACAGACTGCTGTTATAAGATCTAAAGTGCAGGCTGTCCTATTACTTTGTCACTATTTTTTTTTAAATGTTATGTAAAACTGAAATAATGTGTATGATCTAATGTTCAGCACTTGTGAACATTGCACTAAATCTTTTTAAGCTTGAGATGAAGCAATACTGAAGATGTTTTTAGAGTGTATTTTCATGTATGCCTGTATTGGACGTTCCCTGTGTGTTTTTGCATGGCTGGTCTGATGTCATCCGATGTACATTTCCATGCAGTGAGATTCAATCCTCTTCAGTGTTTCAGTTAAACACTGTGGGTAGTAGTGCGAGAAAATACTGTTTCTAGGAAGAAAGAGAATGATTTCTTGAGAATGTTAAAGGATGCTTGAAATTGTTTTGAATGTCACCTGCTGAACATCATGTTTTTTCCATTTAAAAAAAAAAGGTGTTTCATAACTCCATAACCACAGAAGAGAGACTATAATGGGCTTTGTTTTTGATGTTTTTTTTTTTTTTATAATCTTGACATTTGTTGGGCAGTAGATTTGTAAGTCAGTGTTTCTTTTTTTTGTCAGAGAAAAGTATCTTACACCCTAGAAAGACTGAATTGATCCATGAAGTGATTCTGTTCCAAAGCAACAGGATTTTAAATTTAGACCTCCTCAACACTAAACCTGATATACATTTGTCCCAGTACATTTCTGTTTCTTTTAGATAAAACAAATTCATCCATTACATTTGTTTGTTGTTGTTATTGTGCATTATAATCATTATTATTATAATTATTTTGATTTATGTTAACCAGTGTTTGACTTTGCTTACTCCGATAGTAGGCCTGGTTTTAGAATGCAAAATGAAAGGGTTATAAATATTACCGTATTTATGTACAATCAATATTTTAGGCTGCTTTCTGATATTGTAGTGTATGAATGACTGTATATATGTAAAGATAAGTCAGATTTTGAAACTGGAATCCCAGGAAGTTAGCCTTTGACCAAACCTTTGACCAACAAAAAATGAACAAGAACCCACCAGATAAAATTTGAAAAGTTTGCAAACGTTGTCTTTGTGTCAATTTGTGCTTGTCCTGTTTTGCCTGGTCTGTTTGAAGCTGATTGTCTTCTGTCTTAAATGTTGTACTCTTTCATCAATAGAACTGAAGTCAAGAGTCAGTCAGAATATTGACCACTAGGGGGTAATGTTGAATGTGATGCTACAGAGATCTCTAAAAATAATACATTTATTTCAATAATTAATCTTTAAATAACTGGATAATTAGAAAGTAATAATGAAATTCATTATTAAAAGGATAGCTCACCCCTGTCATTTTCTCACCCTCCACTTGTTCAAGGCTTGTTTGAATGTTTCTTCTGTTGAACACAAAATAATATTAAATTCAATGGCTAAGAGTTTTCAAAAAAAAAAAGTATTCAAAGTTACTTAATTTATTTAACAGGAAATAATAAACTCATAAAGGTCTGGAACTACTCGAGTGTGAAGTAACGTAACTTAAATGGTCGTTTTCAAGCTACTTTTGACTATCCCGTTAACCGTCGATAACCAAATATTACTACAATAAAACATATCTATATTAACCACAAAGACAATAGAGGATCTAATAAACTAATAACGACCTAATAACGTTTTTGAATGTATACATAGCGTTTTATAAATAAAAATGACCCGACGTCTTACCTTTAACGTTAAATGTAAGCAGGGCTTTCTTTGTCAGTTAAGACCGTTACAATTCAAACTGTGGTCGCGAGATCTGATACTAAAATAAATGTACATAGGCTAATGACCCAGCGTGTAGTTTCCATCTTTAACTATTATTTATGTGTTTTGCTTCCGAAAGTATTTTAAGTAGCAAAGGTGTGAGTTGCTCAGGTAAGGGCAGGATGCAGCTCGTGAGCGCGCGTGAGGGGGTGTGGCTGCTCCCATCCATTAAAGTGCTCGTGCTGGAAGTTGATGGCGTTTGACATGTGGATTATCTGTTGACTTTCTCCGGCATGGACGTCGGTTCATTGAGCGTTCACCAGCAGTCAACCTGATATTATTTGTCCACCGGTACGTATATTGGAAAACAAATTACTTTTGCCACTTTCTGTGGCTTTGACATAGTGTTTAAATATTTAGTTGTCTTTTAATTACTTGTTTGTGTCATGCATTACTGATGACAATGTATTTTCACCATTATTTTGATCCATCTGGGCTCTGAACTGTTGATCCTTGTTAACCTTTTTGTTTTTTAAAAAGTCGAATAATGTAGAGATCTAAATGTATTTGTTTGCTCTGCATGTTCTGTAAATGTGCATCTTGAATTGCTGTAACGTTAGATTAAGTAGTACACAGTGTAATTATGTAAACATAATATATGTATGTCTTAGATATATAAATATTTTAAATTAATGTCAACCAGCTATACTAATTATGTATATATTAATAAAATACCAAACGTGTAGGTGTAGTTACCACTGCTTAATTTATAATGTCTGTTTTGTTGGTTTTAAAAAGAACTAGTGGTCCCTGTTTACCTCTACTTGTAATTTATTGCCTTCTATTTAAATTTAAGTTACGCTTGAAGAAATATCCCAAAAGCACAATAGAAACCAATAAATCCTGAGCCTTAAAAGTTGAGAGCTTGTAAAACAGTTGTAGTAGAAAACATTCAAATTCAAGTAATTTTATATTAATTTTTTTCTAAAGGGGTGTTAAAAGTATAGCTTTAAATGTTGGACATGTAGCTTCCATTGCAGGTTTAAGCATTACACAGTCAGTAAAATAAAAAAATAAGGAGATCAAAGTATGTGTGATATGCAAAGTAGTCTCTATGCTTGATCGTTTTAATGAAATGGTTTGTTTATCTGCCTGTTGAAGTTCCTAGGCAAATTGGTATTGTAAAGAATTATCTTGGTTGGCTCGCATAGCTACCTTTTTCAAATAAGCAACTTGCTATACCTGTTCGTTTTAACATTGGGTATATTTGTTTGTGAAAAGTTCAGATGCAAAAATTTCTAAAAGCCATTTAAAATGTCCTTCAAAAATGAGCAGTTTTCTCAACCTCCTATTTTTATTTTAATTTATTTCACTTTACAGATTATGTAAAAACCCTATTCATCGACATAAAAGTAAATTTACTAAACCAACCCAAAAGAGCCTGACAAAATGCTCAATTGTAGAAGAAAAGTTTAGGTGGCATTTAGAGGTTTTTGCATCTGAACTCTTCATGCATTGATGTAAAAAGTTCACACTCAACTGGCGTGGTTACTCTGGCATAGTTTGACAGAAATATACAAAGAACGCAAAATATTAATTTCTGTTTTGACTGAAGATGTTTTATAATAATTTTCAGATGTTAAAAACATCATATGCACAAACTATGCACCTACAACAAGCATTTAACCCAATGTTGCTTTGCGTTGTTTTTTTCGTTCTATTGAAAAATATAAGTCATATACTGTAGCAAACAAATTTTTGTCCCAGCCAAATTAACTAAGAAAACTAAACCACGATTGTGAACACACTGTTACAATACACAGTTTGACTTTTCTAGGTATATGTTACTGATGGTAAAAAAATTTGGATGGCTTGGATTCCTTCTTTTTATGCTTGTATATCTGTATTTCTATCAGATCCCTCCAGTGAACTGGAATTAAGTCCACTATATATCCACATTGTGTCCTCCAATGGATGGCGCATCAGT